GTGTGCTCTTCCGATCTTTTGAAAAATACATTAACTCTGTTTTTTTTATTTATTTTTACATAATTTGCTTCTCATTTCTTTAGCATTTAACATTATCAGCAATAAATATATGCTTGTTATAAAATTTTAAAATTTTTAAAAGTATTGTAAATGTAAAATGTGATAGATTTTACGAATATGTACATGAAGTTTTCCATTGAATTTTTCTATCCCTTGGGGAAAAAACCGAAAAAATCCACGGAAAAATTGAAAAAAACCGGTTTTCTTTCCAGCCTTTCAAACTATAAGAAATATACTTTCAAATGCGTAATTTTTTGAGAATAGAGCCCCAGCACACTCGAAAAGTGGATTTAATATGGAAAAGGGGAGAGAAAAAAATAGACAAAAGTATATCCAGATAAACTAATTATTGCAATAGCTGTATAATCATAAGTAAAAAGAAAATTATCCAATCTTCATTAAAACATATTATATCTAATCTAATATTTGCTAATATAATTATATAAAACATAATCATATCACTTTCAATTGCAATCTCGATACGCTCATAGTAACTCACAAATGCCAAAGGGAACGGCTTTGCTGACAGTTGTATGAGCGCTTAAATTTCAAAAGGAACGACAGAAAATAGCGTTTATAAGCGCGTTTATGAGCGCTTACAGCAGTTACAGCGCATGAACGTCCAAAAGGAACGCACCCATAGAGTTGTCAACAGCATGACGCGCTCAGTGAAAACGCACTCTTATAGTTCAATGATTAAGATTTTAGGTTAGGTTTCAATATTATTGTGACAAGTAAAACGATTATACTTGTAAGCTTTGGATTGCATTTCTTTGTAAACGAATGAGATGGGTTTACTTACGGATCCCAGAGCTGGAACCGGCAAAATCATAAAATTATTATTAAAATGGGAAAAACCGTTATGCTTTGTATTATATACAGGAGGAGTTATATGGTTAATGCTTCTAGCGTTACCGGCATTTAACGACAGTACGTGTTTTTCCTAAATAAAAATTTTACGAGAATTAAAAACAAGTGTATAATATTAATTTATATTTATAAATTTAATTTATAGATACCTATTTTTCCGAAAATGCTTTACTACCTGGATTAGTTACAAAAGAGAGTAACCTGGAACAAACGTCAAAGCAGTATTATCATGAACTAATTCACGAAATGAAAAGATATCCAGATAATATGCCTTATGCATGGCTCTCGGCAAAGTTCAGTCAGCTTCATTTAGATGTATTTGTACATAATTTTTCCTTAATTTATCCATTTCAGAAACAAAAGGTAACAATATTAAAATTATGGTCATAATTTTAAAATAAATAATCTCTCTTTATACACATATATATGTGAAAAAAATTTTATAGTTTGCAGGACAAAATATTTATGGCATTGTCAGAGCTCCGCGAGCATCCAGTACCGAAGCTATTGTAGTCAGTGTGCCATATAGACCTATTAACAGTATCTATTTAGATACTGCACCTTCAATAGCTCTATTACTTGCATTTGCAAAATTTTGCAGAAGTAAAGCTTTCTGTACCTTGCTATAAAATGATTAACAAATGAGATTAAAATATATTTTTAATAACTTTACCATTTGTCTGCAGAACAAAAATATTGGGCAAAAGACATAATATTTCTTGTAACGGAACATGAGCAATTGGGCATGCAAGCATGGTTAGATGCATATCATGGAGTTACCAGTGGTCAGGAAGGAATTTTAATAGCAGGAGATTTATCAGGAAGAGCTGGATCTATTCAAGCTGCTATCAATCTTGAGTTTCATGCGATGAAAATCACATCAATTGATGTTAAAGTACATAAATAGTGAAAACATTATCTTATTATACTTAATTATATTTCGTCTAAATCATTTTTATTTTTAGATTGAAGGACTAAATGGACAGCTACCCAATCTAGATCTTTTTAATTTAGCGCAAAATATGATCGCTAAAGAAGGGATTCGACAATCTTTCCAACGTCGAGTTGATGTCAATTATAGGGATAAATTAAAAAATTGGTGGTATCATTTCAACACATTAATGAGTATGATTGCGACACAAGCCACTGGAATACCAACTGGCAATCATGGACTCTTCCACAGGTAACACATTTATAAAATGAGATTATATTAATAGAATTAATTCGAAGCTTTTTAATTTATAATTTTGTGCAAGTAAATAAGAAATTGAATAAGAGAAAAATGGAAGCAAATTGTTAAGATAATATAGAATTGTGAATAATTCTTTATAAATAAAAAAATCTTTAAAAAACATAGATGACTTACTGTATAAAAATTTGTTATTTAACATAATTTTAGGCTTTAAATGTTTTATATAATCTTTAATAATATTAGCTTTCACATTTAACTACAATTTGTAGGTTTGGTATTGAAGCTATTACGTTAGAAGGCTTCAAAAAATCTGGAAAAGAAACAGAAGCAAATTTTTACCAAATAGGACGCATAGTGGAGAGTATAGTGAGATCACTTAATAATTTATTAGAGCGTTTCCATCAGTCGTATTTTTTCTATTTATTGCCTTCTACTGATCGATATATTTCTATTGGTAAGAAAAGAGATAAATTCTACATACATTTCTAATTTTTTATTTCACTCAAATTGTAAAATGTTAAGTTGTAAATGAACAAATTATTTTGCAGGATTATATATGCGACCTTTGGTATTAATAATCACTAGTATTTTTATAAAGGCCTTTTCTATTTGGCAAAGATTACAAACATCAAATAATTCAAATGAAACAAAAAAGGACAAGCAAGATTTAACGAATAAGGTAGCAAAGTTTGAGATTTAATTAATATATTTTTTATTGTGATTTTAAGTATTCCTGTTCTATTAAACAGGTTGAAGAATTTGACATCGGAAGTATCGCTTCTGAAATACTGTGGGCGCACATATTTGGAGTATTAATAATGGCCTCTCCTCGAATTTTTACCTTAATTGGATCACAGGTGTTTAATCTACGTACAGAGGATTCATTGTACATCAGTTTTGCCCTAATCACGATTCTCACGTTGTTATGGCGCTTTTATCTAAGGAGGTAAAAACAAGGAAGTAGTCATATCATCAGTTTGATTGTTACTATAATGAATATAATTTGTAGATCAATCAAATACGAAAATATATCGCTCGTATGTGTTATTGCATTAATCGAGTTAGCTACCGCGTTAATGTGCATAGCCATGCATAATTTCTCATTGGCTTTAATGACAGCCGTTGTATATGTGCCAATTATATTGTTGATAACACCGCATCACGAGTCTGCGTCCAGGTGAGCGCGATTGAAGTCAATTATCATGTTCTATCGCAAACATTTTCCATTTTGTTCCGGTAATTAATTAAATATTTCACTTTTGCAGATTCCGCTGCATCCAGTATATTGCGTGGATTATGTTACACCCGTTTATTTCGTCGACAATTGTAGTGATGGGCTACACATATCTGAATTTTTCTACTGACCCCATTCCATCCTTGTTTTTTAGAAGTTACCGCGCCAATAAGCAAGCGCTCGTATTTAGTATTGTTGATTCCATGATATACGGTAATTGGTTCTACAACATCGCTACTGCCGTCATGTTACCGATATGGTTGTTATTTTGGAACGTTATGCGCTCCAGCATCGCGATCCCCTCGCGATAAAACGATTGTGTAATTCACGATCGAATTTCTATCGGCTTGAGTTGCTCACGGATAGTATTTGAAGTGTAATTTTTCGCGCTATGATAAGCCAACTAATTTAACTCGTTGATAAGTATTCAAGGAAAATTGTTTTCTGGGCAAGCCTTTTTGACAAAGCAAAGTAGGAGAAGTACATTTCGAAAAAAGTCCTTGAAGGTCGACTTATTTTCTCATAAGGCTACATGTTCGTCAATAATACGTCAGCCAGTAGATATAGTATATCTCGCCGATAACCCTTGTGACATTCTTACTGCGAGTCCGCTCGAATAGTTTAGTACGTGCAGTGAGCGCGTGGAGTGAGCATTGAACGAATGCGTGCGTTTTTAGGTGAAGTATCGATGCATTGAATGGAAGCATAACGATGTGAGTTTTTTCTACAAATAAAATTACGCGTGACGCTGGTATTCTGACACCGATAATGCTACGTATTATTCAATTGTGAATGATCTTGAAAGAATATTGCGTACTGATCGCCGCGTGTTACTTCATCTAATCGTTCCTGATGCTCAAATGTCGCAATAAGTGCCATCCGACGCAATCACGACCTCCTCGAGCTTCACGTGTTTACGTCCGTTCGATAAAAATCATATTAAAAAGCATTTTTTCTTAATATATTTTTTCAAATAATTTTTATTTGTGGATATTCTCTCTGTTCTTTGCTTGCGATATGTAATATATGTAAATCTATGTAAATTTGTTACGTAAAGATTACATGTTACATTCGTAATATTTGTTTTGCTACCTGATGCATTTCAAAAACATGCAAATACCTAATGCTGAAAATATATTTTTTAACAGTGTTATAACTGAGTTTTCGTTTTAGTGCTATTTTTAAATGAAATATTTGCTTATTTTGTTTAAATTGCTGTCAAACAAATATATAAAACAGATAAATTATAAAAAAAATGTTTGTTGTAGTAAAATTTTTTGCAATCAATCAAAATAAAAGTATTACTTTTTAGTAATATTTTTCTTCTAATAAATCTTTTTTTAATTCATTAAAAAGGTATCTTTAATATAGGTTTAATATATTGCTTTACTTAAAAAAATAACATACAAATTGTTTAAAATTCTTAACTGCTTAACATTTCTGCTATTACGTTCCACTCTTTATAAATCATAGATATCTTGAATGCATACAAATCGAAGACAAATAAGTACGATAAAATATTTTATCGCGATTCACGGGTTCAAATGCATCTTACATTTTGACTTTATCATGACACATATGTTTTGAATGAGATAACAACAGAGGAAGTGCAATGTACCGAAAGTTGTAAACAACTTTTTATAGAACTCGTAAGCATTATTTTACATATATACAAGGTATCCCAAAATTTTCCAATCATAATATTACAACAAAAAAGTTCTTGAAAAAATAAGTTATAAAAGTATTTGTCATTTTTCGTTCTAAGAGCAGATTAAAGTTAAACGACTGTCTGTTTATGAGTCGTAACAGTTCAACCATATATAATCTGTAATTGACCAATTTTAAACCATTACATCCTAAGAACTACTGCTCGGAATGGCAAATCAAATACTTTTATAACTTATTTTTTTTAAACTCTTGTTATAATATTTTGAATCGCGAATTCGAGACACCATGTATGTACATATATTCTGTCTAAAATTAGATAACAAATATATCCCATTTTATTATTAGACTTTATGGTTTTTGTTCAATCTTAAGTTAACATTCTATAATTTTATATGATTTGATGTACGTACATACGTTATGTATATATGATGTACATATATTATATATTTAAAAAATATATATATTGTATATATAAATATATATACTTTTATTTTTTAATTGGCTTTTGTATTACGTAATACGCATAAGCAAAAAATTATAAATAGAATTTGAAACGGACAGAAAACTCATTTAAAAACTTTTAATTTTATATATCTTAAATTTTGATATGATTCGTAGATCTTTGTAAGATCTATGAATACGAATTTATGTATATATTTTATACAAATAAGAATTAAGATCCAATGCTTATATAACGTTTTAAAGTATAGAATGTTTTTGGTTTATGACAAACTCAAAATAGTTCTAAACGGTATTATAAATTAAATATATTTAAAAAAATCTTTCTTTTTAAAAGTTATTTAGAAAGGAAAAGATTTGATCTACGAATACGAATTTGTGTATTTTGTACAAATAAGATCCAATGCTTATATACGTTTATAACTTTTTTATAATATATAACATTTTTTGAAGTATAGAATTTTTTTAGTTTATGATAAACTTAAAATAATTCTAAATTAAACATATTAAAAATAAAAATAAAACGATATTATAAATTAAATATATTTAAAAAAAATCTTTCTTTTAAAAGTTATTTAGAAAAGAAAAGATTTTATCACAGACATTGAAAAAATATTGTATTTAATTTTTCGTATTGCATAATGCGACAAATACAAAGAGTTTTATCTTAAATTTTTTAATACCAATCGTAGATTCTCTAAAATAGACTTAAATAAATATTTTTTATCCTTTCCTCAAATTTTATGTTTATAATCTTCTCATATAAGTATTTGTATTTTATCTATTATGTATTATACAAAGTTTCAATATATAATATTTTTTTGAAGTCTTAGATTTTTAGTTTATACAATATATTCAAAATGCTCTAAAAAATATTTTAAATTATACATTCTGTCGAAAGAAAGCTTTAAAGTTTCTTTAAAAATTATCTAGAAAGGAAAAAATTTAATCACATTTAAAAAATATTGTAATGGGGATATATGTAATCGAGATACTTACAATATTCGCGCACACAAGTTTAACAAAATTTAACGTTTGATACAAATCATAAAGCAGTAAAGACTGCATGCTTTTAAAAATATCTTTATTCGTTCAAGAGTTAATAATTTAACAGACTTAATATATAATATTTATAACACAAACTTTTTCAAATGTTTTCTTGAAATTATATTTCTTTCCCAAAAGATTTACAAATTAACAAAAGATATATTTTTTGTTTATTACTTTAATTATCTTGAAATTAAATAGAAAATGCGCGACTGTAGAACAAAATCTTCAGGAAAATTCGTAAAAATATTTAATTCTAAAAAAAATATTTAAATAAGAGTTTATCAAAATGAGTTTATCAAAAATTCATAATCATAAAAATTGTATGTTGTTTAACTATATTATATCTAACTATTGAAAAGATTTTTTCAATAGTTAAGAAGTAACTTTTCAAGACGTGGAAACTTACGAAGTCATTTAGTATTTATTTTAAATTGTTCACAAATTAGAGCGCTTTAAAACACTATAATTTCGGAATTTACACAAACAAATTAAAAAATTCAGTACTTTGAAAAGCAGTATGATTATATTGTATTAAAATATTATATTAATATATCTCAATCTTATACATATATACAAGTACAAAAGAAAATAAAACAAAAATTACCCACTTATTTATTATTTTACGAGTTTGTAGAAAAATTTCTATATATATTTTCTTTTTTGCGTTTCAATACATGTAGTTTTAAAAATTTTTATTTATAAATAAGATTAATTTGTATATGTTACGATTTTTTATTTAATTGGTCATCCATTGGTGATCATTATACTTGTGGGACCAAATTCGTTTGTTCACATAAATCAAATGTTTGCTCCGAATGTGAGATTTTGAACCTAACTTAGTGCAATCTCGGTTTAAAATAAATCATTTTTTTCTGTTGGAGAGTTATCTCAGCCCTTGATAAAGATATGACTCGGTCATGTCTCAATCCTCAACATGTCTGGGCTGTATTTATTACTTTTATCTATGAAATTTGAAATTCCGAGCACGTTTCGAAAGCGAATTTTATTGTATGATATACGTGACAGTATATGAATTATTGTTCTTATGGCTCTGTCGCGAGTCTAGCCTCAACATGCCTATAGGCAATGCTTATCTGTGGATTTCTTAAAGATAAAATTCTTAAAGATAAAATTCTTTAAAGATAAAATTCTTCCCATTACGCATTCGCGTAATGGGAAATTGGATTTTTCCGTCGCGGACAAGATGTATTCGAAAAAAAAACAGCTTTATCTGCTTTCGAAATCTTTTCGTTAGAAAGATTTCTCACGTTCGGTCGCATAATATTTACTTGAAATAAATTTTTCCAAGGAAATTAACAACGGTCAATTTCGTTGAGTCGATATATCTTTGTCAATTATTTTATCTTATCCTAAGATCTTATGCAAACGCACGTTTGCAAATGGAAAAATCGTATAGTCCACCGGACGTAACATATAATATAATTTTTTTTCATTTTTGATGTATTAATTATTTGATACAATTGCGTGTTATCCCTTTATAAAAATGCAAAAAAATTATTGCTAGATAAAAACAAAACAATTATTATTTATTAATATATTATAAAATATGCTATAAATTTGCAATAACAGCTTAAATTACGCGAATTATACATTAAATTAAAAAACAAAAAAATGTTATAAACGAATATTAAAAATTCAATGTTTTTTAAATTACATTTTTTTATTATGTATTTTATTATGTGTATTTATTTAAATTATCAATAAAATATTAAAAATATAACATTTATATATTATTTTAGATATGTAATATTTTATATAAAATATATAAAATATGTATATATTTTTTGTTAATAATATATATACATATGTATGTACATATAATTTAAATATTTTTATATTGTACTTTTATCATGTTTACATTTTATTGACAATTCTAATGATAATTAATCAAACAAACTCTACATTTGAATTATGATTAAAGTGTCATATACTAAAATAAATTCGAAGTTGTTTTAGACTTGTTATTCTGACAGAATACGTCTTGCTACTATTATTGTGCTGAGTAACATTACATATATATATGTATACTGAGCTCACAGTAGCTCTTTGATAGTCATCAGCTTAATGAGCTATAATCCGGCTTTAACGTGGTGGAAGCTGCTATAAGTAACGGAGCTGTGTCGCTGTCTATCATAAACCCGAAATAGTCTTCGCGTAAATAACGTAGTTTATAAATGTGATAACCAATTGAGAAAAGAAAAAAATCATTATCTAAGTAGAGACACGTGTATCACGTACCTGTGTTTAATTGCTATCAAGTATGGTATTTGTGATTACATTGTTTACTCTTGCAAGCTGAAAAGAATAATGACTTTTATTGGCTTGTCTTGATAGCGTTGCGTAGTACGAAGATTACATCGTGATTGCAGTCTGACGAAGCAAAATTGTCGGATTCCAAGCAGAACAACAGATCACGATAATGTCAAAATGACATTAAAATGAATCAGGACTGACCGAAAAGTGACTTTTATGGCCATTTACATAATCTATACAATAATCTCATAAATATCTACCAATGTAGATTAACTTTAATCTTCGTTTAATTTATTTTGTATTTTTTTCTAGTTCTAAGAATTAAAAAAACATAAAAAGTAAATAAAACCATTCTACAATGTAGATTAATTAATCTACATTAGTAGAAATGGACATTAATAATCTTTTAGAGTTATTTTGACGCCATTTTGATGTTATATGTTATTACTGTGTTCTGCTTGGAATATTGCTCAAACTGTTACCGATATTTTATCATAAAATAACATCTTATGTAGCAATATATTTATACAACAGATACCTATTCTAGATATTGAGACAAGCATTACAATAGTATCAAATTTCAAAATGGAAAAGAACTCTACCGAAAAACTGCCTATGTGTAATGGGAACATACGTCATAAAGAATTTCATGAAGATGGTTCGAACAACTGTGAATTACAAGAAACATCAGTATCAAATACT